GGAGAGATTCCCGGGATAAGATATAAATGCTGAGGATCATGCATATCTTTTTTAGATAGAATAGGAAGATTAAGTTGCAACCAACTAGATACTTTCCTTGTAACCCTCCCCCTCATCTTATATAAGACAGGGCAGGGGTCCCGAGATGCGGGTGACTCCTAGCAACTCTCCACGACCTAGAAACCCTGATCATACCTTACATCATACGTGCCCACGAGCTATTCCAACGCCATGCTGCACACATCTACACAGATCCAATCTACATACAACTGGACTAGGGTGTTACCTCACATTGAGGGCCCGAACCAGTATAAATCATCTGTGTCACCATCTCTCCTTGGTCTAGTGCACATTATTAAATGTATTGCCGATCATACGAATCGACACATAGCACTCCTTGATTGATAATATAACAGTGAATTTTAGTAAATCATATGTTTTATGGTCGAAGTTGCATAAAACCCCAAGTATTATGACTTGTGGCATTAACCCAGGTTTTATGCAACTCCAACAAGTAAAAAGCATGGGGTTTCCTTAAATTTACTCATAATTAACTCGATTTCTTAGCATTTTGGAAACTAGTGACATCTTTGCAACAATTGACAGAACAGTACATTACATCAATTTAAAACTCTGATGAACAGTGGGATTGCACACAGAATAGCTTGTAGTTCAAAATTAAGTTAGGATTGGGAATTCGACTTACATAGGTGTTAAATCAACATGGACTAGCAAATTCTAAATTTCTAACGGTTAAACAAGGAAATAGTAGGCCCACAAGATTAAGAGGTCGGAAGTATATTGCCTTAGGTTTTGACATGCACAAACAAAGAGAGGACACAAATTACAAAGCAACGCAGATACAGTTTCAGACATAGTTCCAGATTTCGCAAATGTAAAAAATTTTAGTCAAATATTCATTACCTTCACTTCATCATACAATTTCTTCTCCCATGCAAGCATCCTATCAAGTACTGTGGCATGAGTTTCAAACCTTTCATCAATTTCAAAATTATCACCAAAATCATCTTGGTTAGGTAGGTTCTTGAAGGAGCGGTTCCAAGTAATAACATGCATGATTTTTGTGGAGTGGTCAATGTGCCCTGGAGAAAATTGAAATCGCACAGCAGAGTTAGCAAGTTAAATGGCAGATGTCACAAACCAGAAGCTAGGGCCAGTCATATTGGGCGAGCAGAATAAGGTTTATGGAACAATAGAACTTATGATGGCATCTAGATAATGAGTTTGAAGGGAAATGGAATAAAAGATGGGTTATGATGTGTGTTTTGGATATGGATATACAATTTATCATAATTGGCATTGGATACACTGGGCTTGTGATGAACTTTGGTTGAACAAAAATACCCTTTATCAAGCTAATTAAATTAGATGAAGGCATGAACGAAGTGTGAGCTCCATAACAAAGAGAAAGGAAAAAATAATGCCTGCTTCCCTTGTCCCTATATCGTGCTTCTGCCATTCTCAGACTCGTAGCCTCAGCCAGAGATCCAAAAAGAAATAATTATTGTGGCAGGTTGTAGCAGCCATCCATGATGGATGCCTGATGGCAGGCTCAAGGAGGTACACACACACACATTGAAAATATTCAATTAAAAGGAAAAGAACACGAACCATGGTCAACACATATGGACCTTGACAAGGCTCATGGCGGCCTCAGACACTAGAATCAAGAGCGGACAAGGGTGGGCTTGAGGGTGAGCTCCTAAACAGGACTGATGGCAAACTTCCAGAAGAGGACACGAGGGCCACATGCTGTAGAGCATGGCAAGTGTGGCCAGCGGATTTGACAGTGGACTATAGCTACGACCTTTGACAAGTAGATGTGGTGTTGTGGCAACTTAAATGGAAAAAGGAGAAGATAGCTGAGAGAAGTTGGCAAGAAAGGAACAATCTTGTAATACAATGAAAACCACCCACCCCTCTCTCTCATGATTAAAACAGAGGGATATTAGGTTATTGTAACCGACAGAGTTCCAAAATCATGCACTTTCCCCATCCCTAGATTATATCTATTCAACCTAATACAAACCTAGATTATATCTATTCCAAGACTAGATTATATCTATTCAACCTAATATTTTCCATTCCCAAACACCGTTTCCCATAATACAAACACCACCTTAAGGGAATATTAAATATGGTCTAAATTAAGTAATTGTGTGTGATAAACTAGGGAAGCAACAATTTGGATGTAAATTAGGGTTCAAAACAAGTACAAAATTAACTCTTTCAGATATATAAAGTAAACTAACTATACAAAATGCAGATTCCAAGCTCAGAAAGGTAAATATGACAGCATATTGAAGGGAATTACAGATTACAATTCCACATTATAAAAATCACACTGAATAAAGCATGATTTTGTTACAACTAGTCTAGCACTTTATATTGGACAACTAAGGACTACAATAATAAAGAACAGAAATTTTTAGGCACCACCTTTTTCATTCCATTTTGATGCACAAGTGTTGATTCCAAAACAAAGTTACAGGCGCAATACTACCCTGGTCACAAAAACATGTGGTTTTGGGCATGTTTCAAGTAAAGCGTTAAAATTTTTATCATCAATATATTTTTAAATATCTCAATTGGATGTATGAAAATCATGTGCAGAAATTTGTGTCGAGAAGTACTTTCAGAATATCATAATTTTATCAAGTTCTTCAAATGTTTTCTATAAAAATCAGCAGTCAAAGTTGCATTTTAAGACCATACCGATGTCTAAAATGACATGTTTTTGTGATCGCTGACCAGAGGGGAGGGTGTAGTTGATTTCTATCTTAAGAGGTGAATAGTGATTGCTCAAGATTCATATTAAGGAAAAGGAAACAAATTGATTGGCCACACTTGCCTCGACTGTCGGCGTGGTTGGAGTGGTAATGCATTCGGGTGGCCTCAAGCTTCTTTGACACGTCATGTGCACTCTCTGAAGCCTTGAGGAAAGAATCATCAAGCTGAGCAACAATTTGCAGCAAACTGGCAGTACCTGACATCGTCTTCCCCTTCCGAGTTTCAACCGCACCCATAGATGAGGCATGCTGGTAGCGAACTTCTGCTGGAGGGCCAGGTGCCGCTTTGGGCGGCTTTCTAATAAGTGGCTTCGATGGAGGAAGGTTTGCCGCAAGCTGTTCAATGGCCTTTTCCTTCTCCAGTGCTGTCTGTGGTGGTTGCTCCTCCGCAACATGCATAGGAGCAGCTGATCCATCAACAGCTGGTTTCATAATCGGTGCCTTCATCTCCGGCACTGACTCCTTCTCCCGCTTATCCATCCAAGACTCCTCAGGAGGTTGCTCCAGGGTGGGCGGCGGTGTGGTGGTTGGACCGAAGAAGTAATCCCAGGTAGTAGCCATCTGAGGCTCAGGCATTGGGGGTGGTGGTGTTGTCCTGGTGGCTGGCGGGGATGGGTTCGGCCGTGGTGGGGGTGGCGGCGTTACTGGAGAAGACCCCACGCTGCCCATCATAACCCGCTTCTGCGGCTGTCCGTGTACCATTTCTTCCACGAGGACATCATCGTGCTCATGGTGGTCATCATCGCTATCGTCGTCTTCGTCGTCGTCATCATCATCTTCGCTTTCTGTTCTGATATGGCCGTCAGCATCATCCTCCACCTCGTCCTCTTCCCGGATGGATGCGCCAGCGGCGAGTTGGGTCTTGGTGGCGGCCTTAGGGTCGGGCATCGGGATGTTTGGAGTAGAAGAGGAGCGCTGGAGTGTGGCGTGGGAGAAGTCGAGGAAGGGCGGGGGCGGCGGGGAGGGCGCGATGAGCACGGCGGCGGTGGACGGGGGAGGAGGCGCGGAGACGGAAGCGGCCGCCTGGGTGGGGGCGGCGAGGTGGGCGTGAGAGGCCACCAGGTCGGGCGTCTCGCCTTGGGCGAAGTCAGAGAGCGCGCCGCCGGTGCTTTTGAGGAGAACGGTGTAGGCGGAGTGGGCGGCGGCGAAGGCGTTGCGCGCCTGGACGGCGTCGGCCATCAGCTTCCTCCGGTCCCGGCACCGGCACACCGCCTCCTCCTGGTCGATCTTGGACTGCCCGCACCCCATCCAAGCGGCGATTGAGAGGAATTCTTGCGATCCTTCCCTAGAGGGTTGTGGGGATTCTTTGAAGGGGTTCTTGGTGGACCAGATGCGGCGCCGGCGCGGCCGGATTGGAGAGGAATGGGTGAGAAGCGGCGGGGGAGACGGCGGCGGTGGATGTGGATGAACGACTGCCTGCCTGCCTGCCTGCCTGCCCTGGTGGGTGCTGCCGCTGTAGGCCTCCTGTAGGCTGTAGCCCTGTGCGGCTGTGCCCCTCTGGTGGAGGACTGTAGAGGGTCTGTGTTTGGGGAAAGTGATTGGGAGAGTCCATGAGACTGTCAACTTTGCTGGTCTTCCCATCCACCGTCTTTTTTACAAATTGACCCTTTTAAAAAACTTATTTGAAAACTTAAAAAAAATTGTCAACTTTGCTGGTCTTCCCATCCACCGTCTTTTTTACAAATTAACCCTTTTAAAAAACTTATTTGAAAACTTAAAAAAAATAGGCCGTCAGCTCAGTGCCAGAAGGGCTTAGCGCTGAGATCGTGCATGGACGCGCCAACGTTCCTGGCGCTGACCTCGTGCCAGCGTGGTAGCCCAGACGATCGCCTAGCCGACGTGGCAGGAATGTCAGGTCCAAACTCAGCGCCAGGTACGTTGGCGCTGAGGTAGCGGCATATATGCCACGGCCGCGCCGCCCTGTTTTGTTCTACTACTAAGTTAGGGTTCATCGCCCCCCCCTCCCCCCCCCCCCCCCCCCGCGTCGCCCTCTCTCCTCCCCTCCAAAAGTCTCCCCAAATCCCCCTTAAATCGAAGACTACTAGGACTTTAGGCGCGCTTCGCGGCGCCCTACCGTTCATTAAGACTATTTAACTTATGGACACTTATGAGGAATATTGGAGAATGGTATAGTAATCAAAGCAAAGCAAAGCAAGTAATTTTATGATCACAGAGGAAGCACAAATCACATGGCCTAACGATTGTAGATCATAAAATTAAGTACGATAGAACTAAGCATGCTCATGTAAAGATACATCAAAGATAGTTTGAGCTAGCACAATATAAGATACGAAACATAGGAGGGTAAGTTTATTGGTTCCTTGCAAGTTATACAAAACCACACAGTTTGTTATGGAGATATATGAAATTATTGACGTTGACTAAGCTTGGACGGTGATCCACCTTCAACGGCCATGGCCTTGATGTTTTTTTTTTTGAACGAATGCCATGGCCTTGATGTTGACCATGCGGCATGGCTGGTGATCCATATGTCCCACTTCCCACAGTGCCTGAGGTGTACTCCTGTTACAATAACATTGACAGGCTCATAAAAAACACTATTCAGAACTAAAAACAAAAGAAGACATACTCATCCATTTTTGCCTCTTCTAGAAAAATTGAACCTATGAAAATTAATTCATTGTATAAGTCATAAGAAATTTTCCTTACTTACATGAAACTTACAGGTACAGAAGAACATCCCAGCTAACTAATTTGTGCAGCAAAGCTCTATTGTCAAGTTGTTTGTTCTTGTCATGGCAACTAATTAGCAGTGACACCCTTAATATACTTAAGCTAAATGGCAATTCTCACATATACAAAGATTGTTATAAAATGAGATTGCAATGCAATTGCTTAGGACTGAGAAAGCACAAGCAGTGAACCACAAGGCTAATAGATAGCCAAGCATGCACCTACAGTCTTCACAAACCTGAGCACCTTCTATGGTAGCAACCAATCATTTTTATACAGATAAGACAAAAATAATTACCAGATTCAATATTCACATTTATAATTAGATTGCACTTTTTTCTCTCTAAAAACATATTCTACTTATAATTTCAAACTACCATCTAGAGTAGAAGGCAAACTGGAAAAGAACATAGATATTAGCAATATTTAACCTTCTTGTACATAGAAACACAACTGTAATGTACATTCAAATCTAGTAATATGCTTTAATTAACTAATGAGAATGGCTCGGCAAAAGTGTGAGTTGCGTCTCCTAGGCAAGAAGTTTTATGGACTTAAATCAACAGCAACCATGAAATTGTAAGTCCCTTAAAGAGAACTATGCATGAAAAACACATAAAGAACATCTTGCAAATCTAATCAAATTTCTACTCTGAAACCCAAGCCAGTGTAGAGCATCCCTTTTTATTTAATAAAGTTGTCATGGATACTTTTCAAGTCAAGGGTTTTATGTTGGCTAGGCAAAGTCAATAGGGACACAGTGACATGATCTCAAACTGACCTGAATTTTGAAGTGGCGATGACCCTTCATATTTGCATTTGATTCTGTAGAGAAATACATCAAACAGCTAGAGGGCACCTAAAAATAGAATTTACCTTTGCGGCACCCTATCTTTGTGCTGGACAGTATGAAACATGGATGCATTCAGTAAATGCGAGAGAGCTACTCTGAGCATCTAAAGCAGGGCAAATGTTTTACGGACATTGTGAATGATTCCTTCGGCGCTTTAGTGATTGTTCAGTGGAAAAACAACTCATGGATTTGCACAGCAAGCAGCTCACAGGCTCATAGCCAGGGTTCAATCTTTCGTTTTTGCTTTCGGTATTTGTATTGGGAGTGCCAATATGGCGAAATTTCTAGAAATTTCGGTCCGAAATTTCCAACATTTTGAACAAAAATTAATCAAATTTAAACAAATATTACGAAATTCCCGTTACTTGATCAAGCTTGATAGCTCACACGCATGTACAATTTGAGATGCAGTACAAATCAGAAATATTCTAGCACTTATGATAAAGAAATTTGATAGGCTATCAATGTTTATCATTGTGAATAGAAGAATGATACATGAAAAAAAAAACGAAGTTTGACAGTTTGCCTGTTCAGATTGGGATGTTAGAATCACAGTGTGAGCAGGGAACCCAGGGAAGCAGGAAAAAGAAGATGCATGCCAGCTATACATGAGGCAAGTCTACAGAGAAAGAGATTGATGCTTTGACTCACCGGAAGTGAGGACGGCATCCCAACTGCAAATGAAGTTTTTCTATGCGACGGCATGTGGTTTCAATCTGACCTACCGCCTAGATGTAGAACCGATGAATAGTGATGATGGCGCGCACAACGGCGGATCCTTAAGCTTGAGCAAGAGATGCCACCCCACCGTGGAGCTCTTGCCTCACCATCACCATCTTGAGTTCAATCCACAGTTCTGGATCAACCCCCTCATGCCCGAGCTGAGCACAACACCACCGGATTCAAGATTGAGTGCGCCTATCCACCAAATCAAGCACCGGGCTAGCGGATTGATCCCCCTCACCATTGATCTCCATCACCACATTCCCCGGAGCTAGCTCAACTGAGGGGAGAAAGAGAGAGAGAGAGAGAGAGAGAGAGAGAGAGAGAAGGGAGCATTGGTAGGGAGAGCTCCAGGATATGGGGTAGGTCAGAGGAGGGCATGCGAGGAAGGCTGGCGGCGGCGGCGTTGAGAAGAGGAGGGCAAGTCGAGGTCGAGGCTGCGCCGTCGCAAAGGTCAGGGGAGAGAGCGAGAGAAGGGTGGGGGAATAGTGGTGGCTAGGGTTTCGGGGAACAGACCGCACCGTCCACTCCCTCTACTTGACATGGAGAGCTCGAGAATTCTTGAGAATCTGAGCCGGAGACACCGCACCGCATCGTCGTCGCCGGCGAAGAGAAGCCGGGGAGGGAAGGAAAAGCGGCGGCGGCGCTAGGGCAGGGCAGGGCAAAGGAAGAGGAGGGATGGGGGAACAGTAGTGGTAGGGTAGTGGTAGGGTTTCGGGGGAATGGGGGGATAGGGTGTTCTATTTCTCAGAAAACATCCTTACTTGCACTTTTTCAGAGCGCGGTCCTATAGAGGGTCTTTACGTAAGAATACATAGGACAGTGAACTTACAATGAGGGACTTAATAATGATTATCAAGATAAGCGAGAACTTTTTTACAAAATTACCAGCTCTCTTTGGGGAAAATTCTTCTCATCGCCGTTCAATTCGGCCGGAAAGAAAAAATCGTACGTAAAAAATCTAAGGGAGCAATTAGCGCATGTGTATAGCCAGTTAGCTAAGAGAGAGTACATGCGAGTATGTTTCAAAATTTAAATGATTTTTTCTATTAAACTATTTATCCGAATTTCAAACTAATTATATTGTTGGATTCGTTACAATTAAATATTTGTAACAAGATATCACACGACAATATGTCGACGACTTTTTTTTTACTTTTTAAATGTTGGGCATTGATAATGTAATGTTCCAACAAGTATTTATTGATGTTTCACTAGTGCATGTACAATGTTGTACATTATCTTTTTACATGTTTCAACCGTTAAAATCGAATGTTTCACGCGTGAGAAATAAATGTCTTAATTTTTAATTCGACTTTGTTGCACATTTAAAGTTTTGTGTTGCTACGGATTATTGAATGTTGCAAATCCTATTATCTAGGTGTTTCAATAAGTTTTTTCAAATGTTTCACTAGTTTATTTGCAAATATTGCAATAGTGTTCTTTTGATGTTTCAGTACTTATAACTCAATTGTTTCATTTATAGTATAAAAATGTTTCATATGTTTTTCTCAACGTAATATACTCATGTGAGATCTTGTTATAAAAATTTAATTACAACGAATATAACGATATAATTAGATCATAGATCAGATAGATAGGTTAGGAGAAAAATCATTTCAAAAATTGATAAAGAGTGTACATGTATACAATAGGGAAGAGGTGGTTCATAATGCATGGTTTGCATGAATCGTCAGAATTGCAGTAGGTAGGACATCCAATCTTTTAAGTTTTATCGGATGTCCGATCCGTAGCCTTCTCCACTCTTTGGTCGCTAGATGTTTGATCGGACGACGCTGCGGGCGAGCAACCAGAGCGTACGAAAATCACCAGCCTTCCAGCGCGCGCGGGGGACGTGGATACATGCGCGGGGACGTGGATACACGTGCGTGCGTCCACGCCGTCCAAAATTCTGTGGTGCGAGCAGATAGCCCTCATCTTTAACTACCCCGACAAGAGTGCGCCGCGGCGGTGGCAGCGACGACGTGACGTGGAGAGGGGGCCGCACGGCGTAGCGGGGGAGGAAGGGGCGCTGGGAGGACACCGGGCGGCGGCCACGCCCTGCCACATCCAGGCGGCGCGTAGGAGAGAACGAGAGAGATGAGAGGGGTGCGGCGGCTGGGGTTTTTTTTCTTTTTTTTTTTGTTTTGACATGCCTGGGGGCTGGGGAGGTTCTCGGGGAGAGCCTTTTGCGCAAAGACCCATCAGTTTACACGATTCAGGGCGCGGTCCTTTTTTCCCTTTTATCTCCTTCGTATTGGATTTCATATGACACGAAGGGCCTAAACGCAATATTTGTAAACCAAAAAAATTGCAGCGAGGACATATAACAAAATATCTATAAATGCGAGGGTTTTTATGCAAAATTCTAGAGACGACGCGGATGCAGGAGCGCTCACGAAATCCCTCCGTCCTCCAGCGCCGCGCGACGTGTCGCACCCCGGCCACGTCCACGCCAGCGCAAAGCGCTGAGCGACGAGCAGCCGGGGGGAGGTTTGAAGACTTTAGATTTGGTGGGCATTGCGTTGGATATTAATTTGCAAGGTAAATCCTCTCTAAAAACCCTAATTTTCTCAATGTTTTCCTCATTTTTGTAGAGTTTTTTTTGTTGAAATCATGGGTTGTTAAATGTGGCTCGGGTTGTGGTGTGGATTAGGGAATGTGGGTAAGTATGCGATGTTATAGTTGTAAGTATAGAGGATTCATATAGTTTTTTTTGTAAGTTATGCACTATTTTGCTTAGAGTGAAGTTGAGACTTGAGAGGGATGTGTATTGTAAATATTTTGGGGATTCATATTGATTAATTTTGATGTTGATAGGCATAGATATTAGGAACGTTGTGACCGGTGGTTGTAAATTCAATATGCATTAGAATTGTTCCATTGACTTTTAAGCAAGCACAAAAAGGATGTTTTTAAGCAAATCTCATATAAGACTTCTATATGTTGATTCATCAGGCATGCATCCATGCATTGAGGACCTTATAGAGATGTTGGTGTATTATGTAGGCAATTGTCAGTACCATGTAACAGAAGTAATGGGGCACGTTAGTTGATCAGAAGCTTTTCCAATACATGCATTGCTATCCTTCCAGAACCACTTATCACACATCTGCAGAAGCCATGCACATTAGGAAGTCCCAAATGGTTACAAAACTATATACAAATAAACTAAATAGATCTATGTTAAAATCTTAATCCTTTGAGTTCCTTGTTCATATCAGCAAGAACTACACGTGCAAAGAATACCTGCAACAGGTTATAAAATTACTCTTTTCAACAGGAACAAAAAGGGAAAGTTGTGAAAGAATGATAGTAGCAAGCAACATGATATACTCCCTCTGTCCCCAAATATTCCCTAAATATTTAACGCCGTTGATTTTTTAAAACATGTTTGACCGTTCGTCTTATTAAAAAAATTATAAAATATGTAAAACTATATGTATATATAAAAGTATATTTAACAATGAATCAAATGATAGGAAAAGAATTAATAATTACTTTTTTAATAAGATGAACGGTCAAACATGTTAAAAAGAGTTAACTGTGTCAAATATTTAGTGACGGAGGGAATACAATAGTTTCTGCTCACAGGAAATGTTAAGGCAACACTTTACCAGTCCGTATCCAGTAGCTTCTGTTCGGAAACTAGAACCAGACCTTCTGATTTAGATCAAAACAATTTGATTCCATTTTTCTAATCGGAATACCTTCTGATATAGAAAAATGACATAATCTAAAAAAAAAGATATTATATCTGATAGGAATACCTGATCGGGCCCAAAATATCTATACAGCTCATCCATGAAACTTTGACAAAAACGCATTATTTGAAATAGAACGTTTTCAGATTGAACGTTTTCCCAAATATCACTTGGCGTTGAGGTAGCCAATGGTTAAGTTCCAACAGTCAGCACCAATGTGTTTGGCGCTGAGGTTGGGTATCTCAGCACCAATGCGCCATGGAAATTGGCGCTGACATCCCTGCCACGTTGGCAGCGGGAGGCGCTCGGCCGTCACGGTGACACGATGTCAGCGCCAGGCCTGTTAGCGCTTCTGGGTATAACCTCAGTGCCAGCGCTCTTGGTGCTGAGCCGACGGCCTATTTTTTGGTTGAAGTTTTTTGGTAGGGACTAGTTTCAAAATAAGTTTTTGTAAATGGCCAATTTGTCAAAAAAAAGTCCCATCTAGGAGTACTAGTCTTCGCAATTAAGCCATTGGAACGCCACATTCCAATAATAATAATAATAATAATAATAATAATAATAATAATAATAATAATAATAATAATAATAATAATACATCCGTCCTACTTTTCCCTTGCGAATAGTAAATCGCATGACGTGGGTGATTAGGTGCGCTTGTCTATCCCATCAAGCTATAGCAGTTTTCATGTAGTTACATACTACTTACACCTTAGTTTTATTGTAATTAAATATGATTGTCTTAGGTACATATGCCTTTTTTTAAAAAAAAAATTATGTCAAATGTTAGATAAGCAGACCTAAAAATAATTAGTCCTGTTGTAACCAAGACTATCTGTTAATGACCAAATTTGGTAATATCAGTATCGAAAAAGAAGATTAGATCGAAGCGGAATCGAAGATGAAGATCGTTGCGGAAACAGAGTAAGAATCGGCTGGAGTCCAAATCGGCTACAATCGGGATCGGCTAAATCCGAGTCAGACTGGGTTAGATGATACAGCCGATTCCGACAATACGACTTGGTATACGTCATCGGGTTGAATTGATATGCTTCAAGATGATTGCCACGCATGGATAGTCCTGAGAAGGCAATTGTATCTATTAATTAGGATATTTTGTGTAATTTCCTTAGAGATATGTTTGGGCAAAAGTCTGTCATAAAGACTTATGATATATTAGAGTTTGTTAGAGATAAGAGACGTGTCCGATATGGATATAGTTTGTAATTCTCGGGTATAAATAGACCCCGAACCCCATGTAATCAATGAATAGACGTTCAATGCAATCTCAGCGCATCGCCACCCTTTTTACTTTTATTTTGTTTCGACGAGTTCTTACTTTCGGGTTGAGCTGCATCGGTTTCGATCTTCAACAAGAGGTAAAACTTGTTATGGCGGCTTACGTTCTCGGGATTAGTGCTTCCATCTTTATGATACTCTAGTCTTGTTTATGTAATTTGTCGAGTTATCATATATCTAACATAATCTCTAGTAATATCGCTATCTAATCTACAATCTAATCTACAATCGGCTAACATCTGTCGGTAGAGGGCAGCCGATTAGGTTAGATATCGATGTTGACTTAGATTATATGAGGTATCCACCACTCTATGAAACTTCCAATGGCTTGATTGTTTAGATATTGTCCTTCTTTTCATACTTATAGCTGCATCAGTTGAGTTTGATCTTATAAGTCGTGATTAGAATCTTAATCTCTAGCCTGCTTCTTGGTTGCCGATTAGGGTAGTATCGGGGTTTCAACCGATCTTACCTGATTTAACTATATTTACTCTATATATGTTTCATTGATATGTTAAATCTGCCCTTTATTTTAAGATCTTATTGCATTTAAGTATATTAGGCCTTTGTTTGATATATTCTGCTTGATTTAATATCTTAGTATAGAGTGGTATCGAAGTATTAGCCGATACATGCTAGATCTATCTGATCGGCTATGCTATGAACATATATAGTCCCATTATTAATATATATTTCGATCTAAGTGATTTATACTGTTTCG